GGTCCCCACGCGCGGGGCCTGTGCGGCCGGGAGGCGCCACACGAACCCGGCACTGCACGGAGGGGTGTCCTGGGGGGTGTCACACGGTCCCTCCAGAGAGCTGATCGTTCTATCTTTCTTTCTTTCTTTCCATTTCCTTTTAGCTGACTTGCTCATTTTCCACAGAATCAGAAGGGTTCAATTTAGAGAGAACCTCTGGAGATCCTCTAGTTCTACCATCCCGTTTTTTAGTGCTCCCTGGGGCTGAGTTGAGCTCATCACCATGGTGTCACAGAGCCTGGTTCCTGCTTCACCAGTTCCCAAGGACATTTGTTTCCTGCAGGTTCTCCAGCAGCTGAACCAGGAGAGAGTCATTTGTGGCATCTAGGAGCACAGTCTGTGTCATGTCCCATGCCCGGCTTACCCAGGAGTTCTGTCCCCACTTCTGTTTGCTCCCTACTGCGTGTCCTTGGTTATCTCCCTCAGGATTTTGTCACTTCTCTCTTTTTACTGTGTTTTATTAGAACACAAAAATGAACTGGAAAGTGATAGAGAACAGGGGAAAGTCAGGGCTGCTGAGCAAGACCCACTAAAATAGCCTCGAGAGGTCCTCAAAGAGCCTGGAGCAGCTTTTCCTCTCCCTCCTTTCCTGGTCTGTGATGCTTTTTCAACCAGTTCTGCAACTTTCACCGGCTTCCTGGGCTGCAGAAACTTAACCCTTCACTGGAAGTCCTTGTGGGCGTCTCTCTCTTTGCTCTCCACATCCCGTCCTCTTCCTGGGATCCTTCCTGCTCGGATGCCCTGGCAGGAGCCAGCTCTCCATATCCCGTCCTCTTCCCAGGCTCCTTCCTGCTCGTATGCCCTGGCAGGAGCCAGCGCTCCACATCCCGTCCTCTTCCCGGGCTCCTTCCTGCTCGGATGCCCTGGCAGGAGCCAGCTCTCCACATCCCGTCCTCTTCCTGGGATCCTTCCTGCTCGGATGCCCTGGCAGGAGCCAGCTCTCCACATCCCGTCCTCTTCCCAGGATCCAACCTGAGCTGGGCTCCGGGCTGAGACGATATTAGAGAAAAATCCAAATGAGAGAGGTCTGGTACCTGCCAGTAATGCTACTATAACGGTTGTACTGTTTTCCAAAGGGAAAACCGTGGAGGTGGTTACAGAGAGGCGGATATTTGCAGCCCTGGTGCCATCTCCACCACAGCAGGAAGCGGGTGGTAACGGCAGGATGTAGGATGTATTTTTTAAGGTCAACGCTGACACGCTCTTTTGAGCACATGAATGCGAGGCTTGTGCTGCTGAGGTCTGTGTGCACAACTTATATGAGGGACTGTAAGCTGTAAAATAAATAACAACTCATCCAAGTCCAAATTCCTGTTTTTCATGGAAAAGCCAAGGTATGGTGGCTGTCTGATGCCTGCATAGAGGGGAGCCGTTACCGTTTGCTGGCAGCTTGTGCTGCCCCACGCTACGACTGATGAGTTTGCCAGAAACAGCCTTTCATTAATCACCAAC